CTCTCTCTCTCTCTCTCTCTCTCTCTCTCTCTCTCTCTCTCTCTCTCTCTCTCTCTCTCTCTCACTCTCTTGCGCTTGCAATTTTCTCTTTTCAAATAGCGCTATAAATCTTCGCCTCGACTCTCGATTATTCCGCATTGCACCAATAAAACAATCGAACAGCGTATAACGTAGAAAGAGAAAGAGAGAGATACAGAAAAAGAGAGAAAGAGAGACATGCCAATTTTGCATCGAGCGGATTCAACAAAATAGTCTGGTTATTTAGATTCGTGTTTCTGCTTCGACAGTCGTCGAGTCCGAGGAGTGCTGGGTCGACTGTCAAGGCTATGAGAACGTGCCTTGTCATGCTACGATGTTAGTTACTAAGACATTGGATGGAAATAAAAACAGGGTGATGATGATGATGATGATAATAGTGATAATGATGATGATCGTGATGACGATGATAAAGATGAATATAATGATGATGAAGATCATCATCATCATCATAATCGTGATGATGATAGTAGCTACGATGTTTACGAGGATGGGGACGATGGTGATGACAATAATCACGCCGACGACGATGACGACAACGCCGCGTAACGAGGATTATAATAACGATTGTCGGAAGGTACGTCTGGTAGCGATCGCAGCGATAGTTGCGGGAGAGCGGATTCAGGTGAAAATTAATGAAGCCCATGCTGCGCCGGACATAATTCCGTGATAGGATAATCGGCATTTTTTCTCGAGGTGAACCGTCGCGTGCGCGCGCGCGCGTGCGCGACACGTATCCCTCGCGATGGGGCTCCGGCGAATTCGACGTTATGCTAATCCCTCGACACTCTGTTACTCTTTTCACCTTGGTATACCGAATCGACTCAGGCCCGCGCGTCCGCGTTCGCGCTTACGAACGCGGATCGCCGAGGTTTGCGGTTTCTGGCGTGCCAATGCGCTCTATTCAACTATTGTTGCAGTCGTGCCTGTAAATTCAAGGCTATACTCACAATACCGCGTCCTGTCTCGATGAGTGCCGGTCTACGTACATTCGCGTAGAAACGAGCGCGCGCGAGGGTCATAGGAAGAGGACTTTTCCATAAGTACACTATGCTAAAACCTGTGGCAGCTCGCGAGATCACGCTCCGGGAGGTCAAGAGAGAAAGAGAAGAAATAAAAGAAAAGAAATAAGGAAATTGACACGATAAACCCGGACTAGATATTCGGTATCGGCGCCGATTACCAGCGGTCGGCTAAAAATAATGGGCGCTCAAGTAACGGCCGATTAAAGAGGGAGGGGAAAGATCGCGAACGGAACGATCGCGGCCGCTGTTGCTCGTATCGTCCGTCGCCTTAGGTGCTCCCAGTCGGGGTTTCTCTGCAGCACACGCTGCTGGCTAAACAACTAAACAACGGCAGCCCATAATTTGGTTCAAGGCTGCTCGTCGGCCGGCCGGCCGGCCGGCCGGCTCTCTGCGGAACTAATCTCGTGTTGCGAAGCGGCATTATCACCGGTGGTACCACCGCCGTGCGAGACGGCGGGGGAAAAGCAGCGTGTCTCGTTGGATGTGGCGCGTCGGGCCGCGATATAACCGGCGGGGACACGCGGGGGATCTTCCTGATTTTATCCATTCATTCGCATTGCGAGAGCTGCATTTCCGTACCCTCTCGTCTGTCTCTGTCTCTCTCTCTGTCTCTCTCTCTGTCTCTCTCTCTGTCTCTCTCTCTCTCTCTCTCTCTCTCTCTC